CGCTGGATCCGCTGGATCCGCTGGATCCGGTGACGAATCCCAAACCGGCGCCCTCGCCTGAGACATCCTCACAAAACGGGCCCCGGGGGGGATGCCCAGAGGAGCCCAGAGCGGCCTCCGGCACCGTTTCCGGACGGATCCGCTGGATCCGCTGGATCCGCTGGATCCGGTGACGAATCCCAAACCGGCGCCCTCGCCTGAGACATCCTCACAAAACGGGCCCCGGGGGGGATGCCCAGAGGAGCCCAGAGCGGCCTCCGGCACCGTTTCCGGACGGATCCGCTGGATCCGCTGGATCCGCTGGATCCGGTGACGAATCCCAAACCGGCGCCCTCGCCTGAGACATCCTCACAAAACGGGCCCCGGGGGGGATGCCCAGAGGAGCCCAGAGCGGCCTCCGGCACCGTTTCCGGACGGATCCGCTGGATCCGCTGGATCCGCTGACGAATCCCAAACCGGCGCCCTCGCCTGAGACATCCTCACAAAACGGGCCCCGGGGGGGATGCCCAGAGGAGCCCAGAGCGGCCTCCGGCACCGTTTCCGGACGGATCCGCTGGATCCGCTGGATCCGGTGACGAATCCCAAACCGGCGCCCTCGCCTGAGACATCCTCACAAAACGGGCCCCGGGGGGGATGCCCAGAGGAGCCCAGAGCGGCCTCCGGCACCGTTTCCGGACGGATCCGCTGGATCCGCTGGATCCGGTGACGAATCCCAAACCGGCGCCCTCGCCTGAGACATCCTCACAAAACGGGCCCCGGGGGGGATGCCCAGAGGAGCCCAGAGCGGCCTCCGGCACCGTTTCCGGACGGACGACCTGACTGCATAACACGCCTGGATATGCCGACGGGGGCGAAGGAGGAGGAGGAGGAGGAGGAGGAGGAGGAGGAGGAGGAGGAGGAGGAGGAGGAGGAGGAGGAGGAGGAGGAGGAGGAGGAGGAGGAGGAGGAGGAGGGGGAGGGGGCAGGCGAGGGAGCCCCGGCCCTGGGGGAGGGGCCCTGAGGGAGCCCTGATGGGCTTCCGGCACCATGGAGAGGTCCTGTGGGGCGGCCGCCCCTTCTTCTCTCGGTCGTTTCCCTCTCGCCCAGAAGCGCGCGCCCCTTCTTCTATATATACAGAAACTCCCGATCAACCGCAGAGCGGCGGATGTTAATAAAGAGGACATCCGCATCAGCTTGGCCGCTGGCGGCCAGACATTCGACAACCAGCAGCCAGGAAGTGTTCCGACATGGAGGCCCGCCAGTGCAGCGTCTCACCCGCCGGTACGTCATGAGCCTTTCTTCAAGTTCCCTGAGCCCCTGAAGCTTCGCCTCATGGGGTAGCTCGCGCATGTGGCAAGTCGTGGGGGGCATTCGCCCCCAGCCGCAGCTGTGCGGTTGCCCCTTGTGTGGTCGAGATCGATCAGGGTGCCCGCCCATTCAAATGCACCGCTCACTCCGTCTTCGAATGGCCGGATCTCTATGATGAATAGATTGTGCCACTAGACGGGGGGGGATGATTTGGCAAAGAACAGACAATCGGAAGGCGTAGAAGTCCCAACAATCGAGACGTTCACCGCGCGATTAAATCGTGGCGATGTGCAGGATCCAACTGCTGGTGGAGCAGCTGCCTCTCAAGAAATTGAGCCCCTCGGCAGCCAGCCCAGCCGGACAGCCAGGTCAGTGTCGCGCCGCAACAAGCTTGCAGACGGATCGAGGGGCGTTGCGCCTCCGACTGGATCCGTGATTTCACAGCGTATCGAGTTGAACCGTCCTGGTTTGAGTCCCAGTTCCGAGATGCCGTATTGGCTTGACCTCACTCTTTGGGGCGGGGTGACTAACCCGCTGAGGGGCCGGCTGGTTGCGCGGTGCCATTTGCGAGCACGACTCATGGGGCTATCAGGGAAAATGGCCGGGATAATATTCTCACCGGCGAACAAGATGCCCACAACGCTGCTGCCCAATCCCCCCCAGGAGTATTTCGCCCCATCGGGCGAAGCAAAGAGGCTGGATTGGGATGCGACCCATGAGATCACCCCGAAGTTGGCTGATCTAATTGCCGAACTGTGGGGGCAGCCCTACGAGAGCATGCCGGCGCATCAGCGATGGGGCAGAGTTTTCCTTATGGAGATCATTTCTTTTTTATGATAGAAGGTCTTCATGCCGCTTTTCCCAGCCAGGAAGCGAAGAATCTTGTGAAGGTTGGGGACTTTGACTCAGTCCAGAGGCGGGCCGATGCTGATGCGCTGGACTGCCATCAGGTCGGCGATTCAATCGTCAGACCTGTTGGAGGAGTGGGCGGAAGACCTCGGTCCGGGTGTTCGTCGCGAGGTGCGAAGCCGCTGCGGCGAGATCCACGGCGCGGCGTTCGTCGTCTCGGGTGGCGCCGACGACCCCGCGGCGAGAATCCGCCTTGGCTACGGGTCGTTTTGGCCATTTCGTTGTTGGCGCGGCCATTGGTTTCACATGCAGTATAGGCAGGGGCGTGGTGGCGGTCGGCTCAGCCGATCCGCCTGCCACGGCCCCCAGCGGCTCTGCCGCCGCGGGGGCCGACGTCGAGGCCCCTGGCGGCTCTGCCGCTTCGGGGGCCGATGCTAACGCCCCCGGCGGCTCTGCCGCTTTGGGGAATGGCGCCGAAGCTCCCAGTGGCTCCGCCGCTTCGGGGGTCGACGTGGACATGACATCAGGGCCCGCGGCTCCAATAACGCCTGATGATGTTGTTGGCATGGGCGAAGGTGCGCGTGCGCCCGCAACGCCTCCAGGACGCGCCCCGCAGACCGTGGGCACTGCGTGGGCGGGTTGGAGTCAAAAGATAATTCACAGGTCTAGCCCGCGCGGTCCGGCGCCCACCGCCTCGGCCGGGTCGGTCGCCGAGCCCCCGAGGGGCGCCGAGCTGATGGCGCCCCCCGCGGGGCGGGATGAGTGGAATCGGTCAGCGTGGGCGGACGGGCCCGCGAACTTCGAGGGCAGCTACAGCGACGGAGGCTGCTGGAAGTCTTCGCGGGACTACGCCGACAGGGGCGACAACGGCCGCGTCGCCGGCCACTGGGTCCACGTCAACCGTCGCTGGTCGATGACTGGAAGGTCCGAAACGTGGATGCGGTTCGACCTGCTGGAGTACAACGAACTCTTCACGGACGAGTCCTAGGGTGCCTCCAGGCGCGAAGAATGGAGGCCCAACCGTCCAGCCTGGACATATGGGCCAGGAGTTGTGCCAACGGGAGATTATGCGCCAGAACGGCAAGCCCGCGCGGCGCTGGAGGCGACTGCTGCCGCTTGCTTCTGCCGCCGCCACCGCCGGCGCCGAACGCGAGGCCGGCTGACAAAGGCAAGTGCAAGGGCAAGGGCCAGGGCTTTGACAGGGGCAACGGGAAAGGCAAATACCACCGTAGACAACACCCCTATGAACAATCCCAGTGGAATTGGCAATCGGATCGCGACTGGAGCCATCAGCGACGGCGTGAAGATCGCTGGTGGGCATAAACTAATGCAGATGATCTGGTACGGCTTCGTCGTCACAAGGCCTGCGCCGCTCGGCTTCGCCGGCGCGATGTGCGTGAGGGCAGGTGAAGGATATTTTTATGATATGAGCTGACGTCTGAGCTGGCGCGTGAATATAGCTCGGGTGGGGTGCGTCGGGTTGCTTCCGCCCATCGCCCCTCGGCAACCTCGGTTGAGCTGTATCATTTCTTTTGGGGTTGGCTCCCGAGGATGTGCATATGTACAGGCCGAGTGGGCGTAGGCCGACGCGGGCCTACTCGCCCCACCGCGGGGGGGGGGTCAATATGCTCCTCTCCGCACCACCATCGCGCCACCTTTGCTGTTACTCCCTTTCGCACTGATTGGTCATCTGCAGCCACTCTGATTCGAGAGGTATACGACATAGGAGCGAGCTGGCGCGCGCGCGCGCCGAGGGTCGCCCCCTCGTCGTCGTCGTCGTGTCATCAGCCGGCCGGCCTCCTCCCTACCAGATATTTCTCTTATCCGCTTCGCGGAATCTACCTTCCAAGCCAGGGCCTTGTTGAAGCCCCCTGAGCATTCCTCGCGTAACCTTCCCTTAGGGGATCAGGACACCATATCGGGAAACATTGCAGGGAGCACTCCTCGCGTAACCTTCCCTTAGGGGATCAGGACACCATATCGGCAAACATTGCAGGGATAGCTAATATCCAGGCAGATCAGAAGGTTCGAAAGTCCCCCGGCCTTCTGAAAAGTCTCCAAAGCTTTCCCCGAAAACGAACAACAACTTCTCAAAAGGCGCGAGGGTTTCTGAGAAATCGCGCCGCCTTCTGAGAAGGCCTTTTCCTTCTCATTTCCCCCCCGTCGCCCCCGCCGAGTCAGAGTCATTCCGGAGTCCATCGGAGTCCCGCCCCCCGCCCCATCGGAGAGTCTCCCCTCGGAGCCCCGGCCCTGAGTGGGGCGCTCTTTGAGAGTTTTTTCTCGTCGGCTGCGTGTGGAGGCTTTGCCCTACAATGTGAGTGCAAAGTCGCGGCAGCAGCTCGCCGCTGGCGCCGGCGCGTCCAGCAAGGGCGGAGGGAAAAGGGCAATGGATGGGGAGGCAGGGATGGAAGAGAGGAGGGACCAGGGACGACCCCAGAGGGCAGAAGAGCCTGAAGCGAAAACCGCAAGGACAAATATGAAAACGCATATACAGGTAAGGAACGCGCTCGGCTGTTCAGCGCGGGCCGCGTGTAAGTTCACAGCTGTAAATCTGGAGGTGCAGTTAATGCGAACTTACGGACGAATACGCAAGGCGAAGCGAACCGTGAAGCGACTTAACCACGAGTGGTATTCCTCCCGTCGTGAACTTCTTCCGCCGTAGGCTGACCCGTACAGGCATGAGTGTGTGATACTTGCCCTCTTGCGAAACTGGAGCGAAAGAGGAGGCGAGGGAAAAGGGACACATTTTGCACATAACTGAGGTCGCAGTGTGCGTGTGTGTGTGTGATGGCCGGGGGATGGTTGGACACGTCACCTGCGCAGAGGAGTGTTCGGAGGCATGGCAGTCGCCCGTTGATCCCCAGGAGTGAAGCCTGGGCGCGCGTGCGGCTTGATCGCCTTCGGAGCTGGGGTATGTGTAGGACGCGGCCGCGCCTTTCTAGCATCCCTCGTAATTTTACTGAAGAAGCCTGGCGGCATAGCACCGTTCACTCATGTCATGGCTTGCTCGGTGCACGTCGACTCGGGCACCTTCGCATACAGTTGACTCGGGCGGCAGGGAAGGATACGTCGCAAGGTGTGGCGATCCAGCGATGCATTCGGTGCCATTTCGTCCGAGAGGGTCGGGTCGGATGTCCATGATGCTTCAACGCTGGCCCGTCTTGGCAGTATGTTGAGGCTGTCTTGTTCCACCCGTGGCCAATGGCCCCTGTTAGACTGTCCCTTGGCGATGGCAGGGCCGTCTTCGGTTTCTTTAGATAGCCGCAAAGGGCTTCCTGGGTGACGTCTGGAGTTGCCTCGAGGACTGCCGGGCCAATCTTTGTGCCACACAGGGAACGCACCATTTCAGTCTTCGAGTCGTGTTGGGCCATCTTGGCGTGGTATTCGGGCAGTTCTTGTTGACAGTCTTGAGGCAATTGTGGACTGCGAGCGTTCAGCGCGGCACGGTCAGGCTGGAGAGCCCAAAGGGATTACCCCCGGCCGTAGAGCGCTTGGCTGTGCATAGAAGCGTCGTGTGCGAACTACTCTTGCTCGACACGTGAACGATCTGTACTTGAATTGAGTTGCTGGGCCGTAAGAACAGCAGGAGGAGGACCCCACTGGTGCTGGAAGTTAGGTGACAGCCGAATTTGAGCGGCACGCTCGAATATTAGAGCGTTTGGCTTGAACATCTGAGTACTCCTGCGTAGCCCCACGTGCCTGTCCCAAAACGATGCCCAGGGGAGCTGTAGGGAGGAGGGACGTAGATAAGCACACAATGAAGCAAGGCGGCAACAATTGTGAACGTAGAGACCTCTGTGATCCTCTGGTAGGCCTCCTGGAACTCTCTTGGAGCACTCTTGGAGACCTTTCTTAGAGATATCTTGGGAGGACATCGACAAGACGGGGGCGGCATCATTAAGAGCACCCCGTCGGATCCCGAGCAGTAGCCTCTTCGGTCCCTCTTTGGATGTTCTTGGGGCGCTGCTCTCGAGGCCATCTGGGGACATCTTATGGGCCCTTGGAGCTCTCTCGGGTGATCTTGGAACCACCTTGAGGCCTCAGGAGCCTCCTGGAGCCCTCTTCGGGCGGTCTTGGGGATCCTTGGAGGCGTGCCATGGGCCATCTTGAATTATCTTGGGCTATCTAGTGCCATCGTGGAGGGCCATCTTGGGATATCTAGGACAGTCTTGGAGACATCTTGGGCCATCTCGGACGCTGCTATGGATCGTGGGGGGCCCATCCAAACCCAGGTGGGGGGCATGGGGAGGGTTCAAGCTATCCCCCCGAAGGACTCTGCCGTCTCGCTCACTTCCACACGCCCTCCCAACACATGGGCAGCACTCAAGCGGAAGGCCCCAATCCCAATGGGTTCATGAGGTGGGATCCCCCCTCCAGCGAAGCGCCAAGCATCCAGTGAGAACGGTGGCTGCCCCTGGGAGCGCGAAGCACTGGCACCGATTGACAAAGCGTGCTTTCCTCGGCATCGCGCGCCTACGCATGACCTTCAGGAACCGATGATTTTCGGGATGGGTGTCCGCCAGCAGAACAACACTTAATAGCACGACAGGTCCCAGCTGTAGGATGAGCAACAGCACGACGGAGCGGAATAATCCGACGCTTGAGAACACGGCGGAGCCATTCCCGCGTCGCTGGTATGGTTGTCCTGATGGTTGTCCCGATGGTGGTCGCGATGGCTGTCCCGACAGACAGATCGATAGGTACATCGATACACATATATATATATATATATATATATATTTATTCACACATACATTTATGTATCTATGAATACTTAGATAGATAGATAGTGATATCGGTAGACAGACAGTGAGAGGAACACGGCCTGGACGCAAACCAATAATGATGCCCCGATGTTTTTTCCTGTATTGAATTATGCGTCTAGTTCAATCAAGAAAATTGTGTTCACAGTGCACACAGCAGCGAGTATGCCGGCCCCCCGCCGTCCTTATTAAATACTGCAAAGTGGTCGCGGGGTGCTCGCGCATGATCAAGATGTTGGTGCAAAGTGCATTTTCTAATATCACTTTTGTAAGGGATGGTGCGGGGGTGCTAGGTTTGCGCACAGCAGGCAATATGCCGGCTCCCCCGCCGTGCCTGTCAAACACAAACCGCACATTGATCGCGGGGTTGCCGCGCATGATCCAGATTTTGTTGCAACGTGCATTTTGTCTTGTTTCTGTTGAAGGGGTGCTGTGGTGTGTGGGCATTGCGCGCAGCAGGCAATATGTCAGCATCCCTGCCGTCCCGGTCAAACACCAATTCGAAGTGATCGCAGGGCGTCCATGCATGATCCAGATAATGGTACAAAGTTATGGTTTTGTTTTCTACTAGGGATCGTGTGGGGGGTGGGGTGGGGTCGGCGGTGTCTCGGTTCTGTCGCCGTCCGCGTGGGGGGTAGGGTGTTCACTGATGAAGAAAAGTGACGACACCCTTCCAGAAGGCGAAGAACTGGGTTGGGAGATGAAGCGCTCTAAGCGACCTGTCTATCTATCTATCTATCTATCTATCTATCTATATATATGTGTATATAATAATGATATATGTGCAAAGGGCCTTGTGGGATCTATAGTTGTGTGCGTACGTGAGCCTTTGGGCGTGTGTTGTGAGCCTGTAGCTGACGAGCCGCGCGCCCGAAGGGCAGACGGATCCTGCCTCGTGGCTCGTTGGGTGCACCTCTCTCAGGGATGGCCGAGTGCGGTAGGTTCATGCGGCGTTGGCGCGCCGGCGACGCCGGCGAAGGCATTCAAGGTTGAGTTCTGCGACGCGGAAGCACCGAGGGACACGGTGACACCATTGGACCCGACGGAATTCAATTTTGAAAGATCGGGGCCGCGATCGATTCAAGGTGGAACGATCGACGCGGTGTCACAAACCTTTGCGCGCGCCGACGCCGTACGAACCTACAGCGGCTGTTCTGTCTTCTGTCTTGCGTCCGTTCTTCCCGCTTGTGTTCAATGGTTGCAAAGGTTTCGCAGCCAGTTCCGCCGATCATGAAAATAGATCAGCATGGGGCCTGTTGAAATCCCCAGGGGGCCCCAGTGCGCCCTCTTGCTTCGAGGCGGCCCCGAGGTACGAAGGCATCTGAAGGGGGTCGTCTTGCGGCCCTCGGCAGGCTTCCCGAAGATACCATGAGGCTTTGAATGATTGAGGGCGCCTCCAGCGAGTCACCGCCGCCCCCTACCTTTCTGCAAACGCCGATGTGTTAGGGGCCATCTGGGGCGGTGTTGGAGCCATCTAGGGCCATCTAGGGCCATCTTGGGCCGTCTTGTCAGTCTTAAGGGTTATCTTGGACCGTCTTCTGTGTTGGGCCATTGTCGCCGACTTGGAGGCCATCTCGGCCGTTTTGGAGGCCATGCTTGACTGGCCTGGTTCCATCTTGCGCCCCTCTTTTGGGCCTCTTGGGCAATCGTGGGGCCTCAGAGGCTGTCAGGATCCATCGAGGGCGAAAACGACGAAATCATTGAGCAACAAAAAGAACATATATGCTTTTTGCCCTTTGGCGTCCTCTTAAGGCTTCCCTTGGATGCCTCTCAGGGCGTCTTGATGACCTCTTGGGTCGTCTTGGGGCCATCTTGACCGTTTTGGAGGCTTCTTGGGCCGGATTTGAGGCCGTCATGGAGGCAGTTTTGGGCCATCTGTGTAATTTTGAGAACCGGTTGATTTGTCAACCGTTTTTCAGGGTTTGCCGCATGTTTGCGGCGAGGCCTTTGGGAATCGTTTTGAAAGGCCAGCTGCTAGGAAGTTTGTAGTTTCACATAGATATATGATTATATAAAATATAATCTAGACTGTCCTGGAGGATCCAGGAAATCCTGCAGCCCTTTGTTGCTCGAGGAAAAGAGCGACCCTCACCTCCCCCCTTTCTCCGCGAGGGGGGTGGGTGCGCGTGCATGGTAGCGGAGCTCGCTTGAGGATCGCGGGCCGCTCCGCACCCCGGCGAGCTCAAGGAGCCCCTCAGCAGCTGGCGGGCCGATCCACGCGAGCGCCGAGAGGACCCCTTGCTAGTCAGAGCTGCGGTCAGACCCGCGCTCTGACAGTGGAGGCCAAGCAGCCACGGAGAAGGCCAAGAAGCCGAACAAGCGAGGAGGCAGGTCGGCGGACACGCGTCAGCACCGCGAGCTCCGAGGGACCGCCTTTAGGAAGCTCAAGGCGTGCGGCAGCAGAGCGCAGCTCACGCAGGAGGAGCGAGCAGCGGTGACGAGGCAGCTGAGAAGCGACATCGAGAGGATAGGGAAGCGTGTCAGCGACGTGCTAGACTATCAAGATGGAGCAGCAGCTGCAGCAACTGGTCGATCAAGTTCAGAGGCTGACGACGGAGAGTCAGAACATGAGACAGGAACTTCAGAACAGAGACGTGACGATCGCAGAGATGCGAGGTCAGCTTCAAGCTCAGCAACAGGCTCAGCAGCAGCGGGTAGCCCCGCGCGGCGAGATGATGGATCCGAAGATTCTTCACAAGGTGAAGCCGTTCGACGGCCACAGGGCGAGTTGGAAGACGTTCAGTTTCCAGTACAGAGCGTACCTGATCGCCCAGGATCGAAGGTACCGAGATCTTCTGGAAAGGTGCGAGGACGGAGCCCAGGAGGTGGACAACGTCAACCTGGACGCGCAGGAGGAAGAGCTAAGCACGCAGTTGTACTACGGCCTGGTCCTGGCGATGCCCGAGGACTCAGTAGGCGAGCTGATCGTGAGGAACAGCCCAGTAGGAGAAGGAGCCGAGTGTTGGAGGAAACTTCAGAAGGAGTACAACCCGAGCGAGGCAGGAAACGTGCTGGCGATGTGGACCAAGCTCACGGACACGAAGTTCGACGCCAAAGAAGACGTGATGGTGAGCATCAGCAAGCTGGACGAGGACATGACAAGGTACCAGAAGATGGCAGGAGAACCAGTCTCGGACCTGATCAAGCGAGGCATCCTTACAAAGGCGCTGAAGGATCACGACGAGCTGCAGAAGCACGTGTTTCGGAACAGCAGTCG